GTATCAGAGCTTTCTTATAGAGGATAATGAGATCTACAATTTCCATGTAAAAATTTTTCACTAGCGCCAATAGTTAACGAGTAATTTGCAAAAAACTGTTTTTTCGTTTTTCGTCCATAACTTTTTTAATATTAATGTTAGCGACAAACTGTTATACAGAAATTGTAGATCTCGTCGTCCTCTACAAGAAAGGTCCTATGCAATTTTTTCGTATCTCCAAGAGTTTAGGAGTTATTGAGGAAAAACGAAATTTTTTGCCAAAAGTTGGCTGTTTCGACGGTGGGACGGTCGGATTTTGTCAACATCAATAAAATGCCAAATACTCATACGTAACTCGTTAAATATCGAAGTTAGGAGAAAAACAACTTTCACTTGAAGTATTTTTCTATATTTTGAGAAAAAAAGAAATTTCAAGTTTTCCGAGATTTTTCCAATTTTATTTTTATTCTTCCTTCGCACGTGTCAAAAACAACGTTTAACAAAGGAAAATGCGATCGGCGAATTTTCCTTCTAGCAGAGAAATCGGTTCGCGTGCCACGAGAAAATTTACCATCTTTTTCTACAGTTAACCGGTTTACTCGCGCTTTCCATCTGGCCGAGTTACCTTTTCGGCGAGGCTCAGGACGGATGATCTCGATTCTATCAATCTCCGTCTAAGTTTTCTCCGCGCGACCAATTACGGCATCCGTCTCAAACGTTACACCATTAGTCTAATTAAGTAACGAATCTACGACCCAACATCTCGTTTTAATTCGTTGGAAACGATTTCAAAGAGGAAAATCACACATTGACAAATTAACACTTAAAAGTGTTACACGACCAGGAATAAGTACATATCCCACGAGGACAATACAGTACATTTAAACTGTGTTATGTTGTTTCATTTAAACTGTGTTATGTTGTAATAAAACAGCAATATAAGAAATATTGCTGTTTTATTAATGTTGACATAGTTCAAAGCAGAGAAGAAATATGTAATTAGACATGCGTAAATCTATGTACAATTTCAATTATTAATAAACATGTAATAATTTCTCTAAAATAACATGAATTTATTTTTCGTTTAAGACTTCAACGCGAATCTGAAGGGCTGCTAATATGTAATTAGACATGCGTAAATCTATGTACAATTTCAATGATTAATAAACATGTAATAATTTCTCTAAAATAACACGAATTTATTTTTCGTTTAAGACCTCAACGCGAATCTGAAGGGCTGCTCACGGAGAATCGACAGTAATCATGTCAAATAAGCGGTATCTATCGTCAATTCTAAGATGACCTCACCGAAGCCGATCATTGCATTTCCGTGGTTACTGCGGTCGTATAAGAGACGCCGCTTCAAGCCCGAATGGATCGTGTTTGTGTTCACATGCTTTTTGGCAAGCTGTTCGGCCAGGAACAATCCGCCGCGTTTCCTGATCGACGGCCAGACGGAAATCATTCTGAGGCTGAAAGAAGGTCCTGACACGCCAGTTGGTAAGGACATATGCAACCTTGTTCTGCATCGATACGCGCAGCTATGTGTTTTTGAAATATTCACACTTCATGCACGGTGCACTGGACTTATTTACATTTTAATGAAACGGGCGATACTTCTTCTATTGCAAAATTGGTATCCAGTTTTCTGTAACGTTTGCACGCACATGTATTATTTTTATAAAACAAGCAAAGAATTTTTAGTTTTATTTTAGATAATGTGTTACGATGTGCGTACGTAACAGACAGGAAATTAGCTCCGTGAGATCATTTCGAATTAGAGCATTCATAAGTGTTACATTCTTTTGTCTACTGAATATCTAACCCAGATCAGTGGGACTTAATAAGCTTTCTGCTTCGGTATTACGCAACGCGTATAATAGCATGAAACATTAGTCGTCGCGATGCACAACACTCAGGTGGCTGCTGACTCTAACATTTCTGAGAGTGTATTACTTTCCTCAAGCCAATAAGATAAGGTAGAAAATAGCAATTTCACAGTTGCACACTTTAGTCTCGTGGATTTCTCATTTAAAATTTTTTCGTCAGAAATTAATATCGGAGGAAGATAGATAAGAGAAATTTTACATTTACAATCGTACATTAAATTTCAAGCTAGGCTTCTCGGTTTGTTAATTCAATTTATTGCGAAATTATACAAAAATAATATTTACATTTGATTAATTATTAGCTTAAGCGGCATTTTAATTGTGAATTAATTAAAATGAGTCGCTTTCTCTTTCTGATTAATGAAAAAATGATTATTGTATATATTCTTGCTATGACTTACTAATTCTCTAGCAATAATTGCACATCTACGTGTACGTATGTACGGCAGGTGTAGGACATTTAGAATTTCTTTGTTTTCTGGCGTTATCGTGTCGCGATTAATGTCAGTTGGTTTCTGTTGCAGGCAGTTTAATTTACAGGCTTCGCGGCTTCGATCCTGACGGTGACAGCCTGACGTTTGGCATTAGAGATCAACCTGGCAGCGACGTGATTCGAGTCGAGAATTTTACGCCGACCGAGGCCAATATTTATCTGAACAAAGTGCTGGACAGAGAGGTTGGTAATCCGTCCCTTGAGACGGTCCATTTCGTCGCAACGATATCGTTCGACTTCCCGTGAAAAACTGCATCCAGTATCTCCAAGTGTTTTATCATCCTTCAATTTTTTACTGTTGTTACACAGTTGGTAGGAGCAAAGAGATGAAGCAAATGGTATTAACGTTATATCAGTTTCATATTTGTGTTTATAATTCAAGATGTAGGCACATGAGTCTTAATAAATTATTTGCATGCAGCACTCTTCGCCATAAAATTAGAACAGTAACCATAAACATTCTACTTAATGAGTAATATCGTTTAAACGCGAATCCAGCGTTCCAGTTCTTGAATCGTAGCCATCGGCCTGGACCATTTTCACGAGAGTCGATGAAAGAAGAACAATTCATTTTTTGGTCTCGTATCTCGCACGAGTGATTCGAAAATGTTTCACGCATAGTAGATTCTATCGTAAGAAGAACGTTAGATGCGATTAAGGAGAAATTCAGGGACGTGCGGATCCAGTCGAAGTAGAAGTGCGCGGACCGTTGATCGAACCTGGATCCGTTCGTGGAAGTTGTTATTTTGTCATCATTGTCTCTGTAAAACGTGACCGTTCGCGTACAAGTTAATTCCCTGTTAAAGGGTAGGTAGTACCATGTACTCCGTGATTATTGGCTTGCCGTTCCGCGTACGCCGACGCATACAGTTTTATAATATTCGAGCTAGATAATGCTGTCGCTCACCGATGGTCGAAGCCTTGCGTGCGATCCAGCTTTCATGATCATTTTCAATTTGCTTTTATCGACACTCGAACCGTGTCTATATTTTCTTATTTGCCTATACGATGCCCTCGATTTTATGTTAAAGTTACAGACTGACATATTTGTGATTTTATACGTACTATTAAAGAAGTAGAAATTTAAGAGGAGAAACTTTACCATTGGTAATGAAATATAAATAAAAAGACTGAGTGAAATTTGTCCTAATTCAATTGCAGAATGCAAAAATATAAAACCTAGTTATTTACTATCTTCCAATATGAAATTTTAATCCATGAGAGTTTCGTTATTTTTTTTACAGACCAGAGATGAATACGCGTTGGTATTAACGCTATCCGATGGGAGATTAGGGGAAGGTAATTTTATCACGCAGAGTTTATTGCTGCTAGTGGAGGATGTTAATGACAACGTGCCAATTTTTCGACCGCACCCGACTTCCCTGACGGTACGGGAGGATTCCGGGCCGGGAGTTTTAACGACTGTGGAAGCCACCGATGCGGATTTAGGAGCTCATGGACAGGTCGTTTACTACCTGCAAGAGCTCGACGGTGATAATGACGTGTTTAGTATTTCCACTGTCAATGGGAAAGGTGTCATCCGCCTGGTTGGCCGCCTTGATTACGAAAGGAAGTATCTGTACCAGTTAAGAGTCCTCGCGATCGACCGAGCAATAAACGAAAAGGTTTGTGTTTTATCAATTATTAAATAAGTGAAGATCAAAGCAAAAAATAAATTATACTTCGTAGGAACTAATTGATCCTTTTTTGTAATTTATAATACTTCTAAAAATATATTTAAACTTTCTGCAATTTTATTATTGCCATAACAAAAGGTAATTGACATTAACAAACATGAGGGTATAGTTAACATTAGATTCGTGATAAAGCCCTCATGGTGATATATAAATTATCTTTAAACGACAAAATGTAAAATGTTCTCCTCTATTTCAAGGTCCATCATATTCACCGTTAAAATCTTTTTTTGAAAAAAGAGATTTTGGTTCTCGCTGTATACTCGTGGAATGAGCGTAGGAGTACTTCTCAGTTTACCTTTGTTGGTAATTATTTCAGGTAAACACGGGAACAACCGCGATACTCGTTAAGGTTCAGGACGTCGAGGATCAGCCTCCGGAATTCATAACCATGACGCCGGTTGCCAGGATCAGTGAAAACGCCAGGATAGGCACGTCCGTTCTTCAAGGTCAGCTAATTTCCCGTCACCGTTAAAACGGAACATAAATTAAATAAATTGGCCAATAAAAATTACAGTAATTAATAGCGAAGGATTCACTGAATTTCATCATTAATCAGAAATATTGTTTCATATAATTATACATGAACAATAATTAATGACGAGGTTTAAATTATATTGCAAACTTCATTAAAATTATTTCATATAGAGAATAAAATGGCAAGTATTTTCTAACAATTCGATTAAACGTGTTGCAGTTCGCGCGGTGGATGGTGACAAAGGAATAAACAATAAAGTAACGTACAGCATCACTGAGGGTCCAAGACTGTTCGACATAGACGCGACTTCCGGTTTAGTGTTCACCCGGGCGCAACTGGACCGGGAAGCCGAGGAGAACGCCGACGGCACGTTCATCTTGGAGATCACCGTGAAGGAAGTGTCGAATATAGTACCGGCGCCGTCGGTTTCCACCGAGGTCACGATAATTCTGATGGACGTGAACGACGAGACGCCGAAATTTCGTAGCAGCAGATATCGCGCCGAGATAAACGAGAACGCGCCGTACAATACCCCGGTTAATTTCCTAGGAGATGCGATACCGGAAGTCTACGATCACGACTTGGTGAGAAGCGGACGTTACGCAATCTCGCGAGACGAGGGTTTTAATATGTATGCATGCAGGGTTCCCAAGCATTCGAACAAACTATTCAATGAAAGGTTTTCATGTGGTACTTCGCGTGCACTGCGTGCGTGTTAAGTAACGCTCTTCTGTACTTACAATTTCATTGCGTGAACCAGAAATTTTACATTCTGTTCCATTCACAGGATCATAGGACTCTGCTATTTTATCGTTCTTTTAACATCATTTTTACAATTCATTAAAATTAGTACATTTGTCTTCAGGGTACAAATGGGACGTTTAGAATGTTCATCGAAGGCGACGATGGAATATTCGATTTGACACCGTCGAGAGGAATCAACGAAGCACCATTTCTGATTCGCGTAAAAAATGCAAGTAAACTGGATTTTGAAACCAGATCAGGTAGAAATGCAGTTACCCTTACGATTCAGTTTTAAGAGGAGAATAAGTAGAAACACGGGTTTTTTGTAATTGCAGAAGTGAATTTCACGTTGATTGCGAAGGAAGTAGTAACTGTTGCGCCGAAGTTAAGCAGAGTCCCAGTGACCGTTTTCATAAAAGACCAGAACGATAATTATCCGGAGTTCACAGAGGACACGTACGAAGTATCGATTCCAGAGAACTGTGCCATTGGTACCACAGTCGCATGGGTTCAGGCACTGGACGAGGATAGTGGTCATTTTGGTACACGCGGCATCAGATATACAAATTTAGGCGGCAGTATCGCACACGCGTAAGTTCAAAAATATACAAATATTTTTGATATCGTTATTTCTCAATTTTCCCTATAAACAATAAGTAAAATAATATTTAAATGATAATATAAACCAAGTATTTTGATTATGTTTATTTCAGATTATCAATGGATCCTTTGACGGGAGTGATCACGGTTAAAGAACCGGGCCCGAGTTTCGACCGAGAATTAGTGTCTCGACATTATTTAACCGTCGAAGCGAGAGACGATCTTGGAAAAGGCAATCGCAACACTGCCCAGTTAATCGTAAACGTGAACGATGTTAACGACAATGCTCCCGTATTTTTACAAAACAAATACGAGGCAGTGCTTTTGGAGAACGAGGATCACTTCGAATCACCATTAATAGTCGAAACATTTGACATTGATCTAAACGGTTAGTTGTTTTATTTTACATTTTCCTTTATGCAAGTTAATATTTAACGACAAAAAAAAAGAAATAGTTAGCTGAACTATAATTTAGGTTTTCAGTTATATTCCATAAATAATCAACTTTACAATGTTAATAAATACTCCAATATTATTTTCAATATTATAAATTAATGAAAGTGAATTAAATTCGTCTCAGGTACTAAGAACAGTGAAGTGATATACGCATTAGTAGCTGGAGAGTTTTCGCGGAATTTTAGTATCGATTCGAAGCGAGGGATAATTAGACCTATATCAGCGTTGGATTACGAAGCGTTGCCTATCAGTCAAGGGCACAAGGAAACGTCCGTACGTCCATTGAGATTGACAGTACGGGCTAGGGATATGGGCACGCCGAGTTTAAGCACGGACGTGCCATTAATTATTTACCTGAAGGACATCAATGATAATCCGCCCGCATTCGAGAGAACCCTGTACAAAAGGAGCATTCCCGAAGACCTTCCTGGTGGTACCAGTGTGGTACAGGTACTGTCAGATTAACATTTATTATAATTATGTGATTGCTAATTAATATACATTTTTTAAATTCTATTTCTTGTTTGAATTATCTCGAACAATATTAATCTTTTTTATCTTACATCGTAAATGAACCCAAATGTAAAACAAGATCTTAAATTTGCAATGTTATTGATTATATAAATTAACGTAGGTGAAAGCTTGGGATAAGGACCTGTCGTCACCTAACAATAAATTGGTCTACCGCATTCAAAGCGGCGCGGGTGATAAATTCGTGATTAGCCCGGAAACGGGCGTGATTAGAGTCGCGCCTGGTTCTAATTTAGATCCGGACTTGACCTCACCGAAAACTACAAGGTACAGCTTAAATGTTATCGCGATCGACAGTGGAACAGAGGTCCAAAGAACAGCTGAAGTTCTTGTCAACATCACTATCGTCGACGTTAATAACAAGCCACCTGTTTTCATCGATCCCGGAACAGTAACCATCCGAGAAAACACCCAGGTGCGCATCCAGTTAATATAAATTCAATATCAACTTTCTGATATCGAAATCGGCAGCGTTTCAATTTACATACGTACATATAATAAAATACTTTATTGAAATTTATGCGTTTATATTTATTCTCTAAATTGAATGTCTCGCATGGAATTTATTACTCGAATGCGAAACAGGCTTTGCGCAAGAAACTTGTATGAATATTTATAATCGTGTTTTATTAGGTTGGAGCGTACGTGCACCGTGTCGTGGCTAATGATCCAGACATAGCGCCGATACTGCGTTATCGCATCGATCCGAATTCCTCGGAGGCAAGGAACGAGGAGGGAACTTTAATTAAGATCCAGGAATATGATTATCTGTCCGCTTTAGAATTGAACGCGCTCGATGGCCTGTTACGAGTTGTTAAATTGTTGGACAGGGAACGAGTCGAAATGATAAGATTAGGTCTCGTTGTCGAGGATCTAGCCGCCGTTAGAGGAATACAAACTGCTTCCGGTTTGTATATTTTAATTTTAATACGAATGTACAATAATAAAAGAGAAAATATCTATAAGAAGTGTTCTGTATTCTAAGCTAAATTTTACTTGTTTCATAAACTATTTTGGTTTTTACGAAAGGTGATTTTATGAAAGATTCCTCATTTGCATTCAAACACTTTCCTTCCTTCTGTAACTATAGTTTCCTAAGCACGAACGAGTTACATAAAATTTTTAATTGGAACTTTCAGCTACATTGAACATAATAATCGAGGATGAGAACGATAACAATCCAAGATTTCGGAGACCGTTCTACAGGCGATCCGTGACGGAGAACAGTAAAAATGGTGTTAACATCGCGAATATCGTGGCTGACGATGCCGATAAGAATCGCAGCATTACGTATTCGTTAGAAAGCCCTAAGGAGCTGACGGATTTGGTTCATCTTGATTCGGAGACCGGCGAGATGGTCGTGGCGAATAAAATCGATAGGGAACAATATTCCTGGCTGAATCTGACCGTCCGTGCCACTGACTCGGGAATTCCGCCCAGGTAGAATCGATAGCGAATTTTCCATTAAATCTCATTCACTTTGTTCATTCTCTTCATAGATTGTATTCAATTATTTAAATCATTAATTTAATAGAAATACGATTTTCACGATTTTATTTTATATCACATTACATAATAATAATAATAATTTTGTATTAATTTCTTACAGATCGAGTTTATCAGAAGTATATGTTCAAGTTCTCGATGAAAACGATAACAATCCATACTTTGTAACTGACATCAGCAATTTAACAGTGCTAGAGAATGCCAAAATCGGTACAGAAATTGCTACTATTCAAGCCAAAGATCCGGATAGCGGAGACTATGGGAAAATTACGTATTTATTAGACAGAATGTCGTCTCAGGTATTAACATAATTAGCATTGAAATATGTATATAAATGAATGGTTTAAGTTGATTCAACTATGATTTTATAAAACAGGGAAGGTTTGCTATTCACCCAGAGACCGGTGCGTTGACAGTGGCGGATTCAATTGATTGGGAAGTTAAACAGAGTTACGTTCTAGTTATAGAAGCTTGGGATAATTATCAGTTTGGATACACAGCTGGCGAGTCGAGAAACGCGTTTAAACAAATTCAGTAAGCATTCTTGTCAAATGACACAAAGTAGTTTAATGATTCCAAATTTGAAATTTGGAATTGGATTTTTTTTTAAGGCTTACGGTAAACGATGTCAATGACAATCCACCAAAGATGGAAATACCTTCTTCGTGTGTTACTATATCAGAATTTCACGACGTCAGGGATTTAATTTTTACCATCAAAATGAAAGACGCAGATGACCCAACGACACCAAATGGTCGCGTAAAAGTTAGGATAGTCTCTGGAAATGAATTAGGTACGTACTTTATGTTATGCGATAATAATTAATTTGTTACTCTTAACAATTGTACAACGTTATTTCTGTTGCCATTTGTTAGGATTATTCATTTTGGAACAGACTGATCATTGGACCGCAAACATAAAAGCAGCGCATTCGCTTCGTGGAAAATTTGGCAATTACTCCTTACACCTGGAAGCACGAGACCTAGCCAATCCTCCTAATAAAGACACTTCCGTTTTAAATGTTTGTGTAACTGATTATAATGACAACCCTCCGATCTTCATTAATCCGCAGCATAACACAACTATTCGAGTACCAGAGGTACCAAAAGCTATTTAGAAATATTGACGACGGTATATTTGAAAAATATAATATTTGTGAATGTTGTGATTCGTTATTTTAGAATGTAACGATTGGCACACCAATTATACAAATTGAGGCCAAAGATGCAGATACTGGCCCAAACGGTGACGTTCATTATCGTTTGAAGCAAGACTTGGCTGGTCACTGGAGAACCTTTCAAATCGACGATACGACCGGAGTTATTTCATTAAAACTTCCTTTAGACAGAGAAACTCAAAAGTTGTATGAGGTAATATTATAAGTTAATAAAATTACCAATGCATGCATATAATAATTAAAAATAGTGTAATATAAGTGATAATTTTTCAAATACAGATTAGAGTGGAGGCGTACGATCTGGGAACTCCAACTCCACTCAGTTCGGACTTGGATTTAATAATTTATGTACGAAATATAAACGATTACGAGCCACAATTTTTAGTAGATATTTTTAACATAAATTTCACCGAAGAGCAAGTTCCTGGGTTTGAAACTATAAAATTGCCGGAGACTATAGATAGAGACGAAGTTGACGATCTAGATGATCCGCCCACTCAAGTGTGTTATTTTATAATCAGTGGTAACGATGACGGATTCTTCGCTCTCGATGTGTTCAAACATGAATTGACCGTAAGTATAAAAATGAAATATAGGATGTATCCAATCATTTTATGTTTTCTGATTAATTGTTTCAGACTGCCAAGACGTTAGACAGAGAACAGGAAGAGCAACATTTGTTGATTGTAAAAGCTACGGAGGACTGCAATACCGTCCCAGCGAATGAATCATTCTTTGATGAGACAAACGATACCACGTTGAAAATTATTATAGATGTAATTGATATAAACGATAATCCACCAAAGTTTGTCAGTAAAATTTTCACTGGCGGAGTTACCACAGAGGCTGATTTTGGTACACAATTTATGAAAGTCAAGGTACGACACGTTTCTGAATTCAATTATAAAATATAATTTAATTCACACTTTTTGATGATATAAAATATTTTGATACGATAAATTAATGAGTCATATCTAAAGGCTATAAATTAAATGATTTCTTCAGGCCATTGACCTGGACGCAGGTGAAAACGCCATAGTCAGTTATTATCAAGTCGGTAAAATGCATATGACATTGACAGAGGGTTTAGACGGTATCGAGTCACAACCGTTTTTAGTTAATAAACAGACTGGGGTTGTCAGCTTAAATTTCGACCCTCAAAGAGGGATGAAAGGATACTTCGATTTTATGGTGAGTCTTCATTTCTTCTAGACCACAATCAATGATGCAATACTTATGATAAAAACTATTGACTTTAATGAAATTTGATTTATTTATCGAAACAGGTATTGGCCAACGACACTCAAGGTTTACAAGACACTGCAAGAGTATTTATATATTTATTAAGAGAAGATCAGAGAGTTCGCTTCGTCTTGCGACAGCATCCACCGGAAGTTCGAAATAGGATAGAAACTTTTAGAGAGTGAGTATAAAAGAATATTTAAGATTGTAAACTTCCCACATGCTTATCTTTTAATTAACTCCTGTCCAATGTCTCATACCATAGTGGTTATAAAAATTGAGTCAGTTTCAAGTTTCAGGTATACAGACGGGGTGTCATAAAGGTGTACGTTTTACGAGACGGAAAATGAGCAAAGTCAAAAGTCGTACGCACGGTCAAGCCGGCTGTAGGTTGAGAGGTAAGGTAGCCGAGGAAACGCCCACCTACTGCCTTATCCTATTCTTGAACGTCAGCCTCGCGTGCTGCCTTATGCTAATCTTCGCCGGCTATACAAGCGACTGGTCAGTGTTCGAGTCATTCCCTCGTGCCGCTCCTTTTCAACCCTTCGCTAGCCTACCTTCGGAATAACCTACTATCGTTTCCACCAAAATCAGTGGCGTAGCGAATCAGTAATTGACTAAAGCAATATACTCAACGAATGTACGTAAATAAAAATCAGCGAATGCATTGAATGAATAATTCAATATTTATTTCTCCTGTTCAATATTTTTTTAAAACTTATTAGTTATTAATAAAACAATTTGATCGATGGTCTCTGGACGCAACAGTTAACTTTCTTTTAATTAGCTGGAGGTAAATGAAATTGTAACGACTTACGTGCGTGGAGTGCAAATATTCATTAGGCTGTTAATTTTTAAACGGTGTCTTGTGCGGTATTAAGTGCTTGGCGATTTTTAAGTGTACATATTGTATCGTAAGTGACAAATAATCGTTATTTCCTGGAGTTAGCTAGCAGTGGCTAGTGCCAATCTCGTTTCACGGTATTACCACGACACTCGTACGATGGTATATTCGTTTTACGCGCAATTTGCATGCTCTAACCCACACATTCTCGCCCTCTCTCCCTTTCTTGCACAAGCTGGACGTGCCATAACAGTTCTCCTAGAATGTCCTCATTCCATTGGTTCTTCGTTAACCGTATACTCTTCGCCTATTACCAATGACTTTAATGTCTGAAATTAGAAACACAGTGCACTTTCGTATTAAGGATGTATTGGCTATACAGTCAATCCCAAAAGTTTATGTACCTTAGAAAAACGCATTTCCTATAATTAAAAAGACATCAGACGTCGGAAGAATAATGCTAATAATAAATAGCTACGTGCTAAAAAGTATAGAAGGAAATATCCAATTAAGTATTGACGCTGACGAAAAATTTTTTTTTCAAAATTGCGAAAAATGTCTCAAATAAACATACTGATTTCAAGTAGCTACCCTCAGGATTAGTG